CTGGCCTGTAATTGAGACACAGTAATCAGCTCTTTATTGACATCTTCATTTACAGTACTTCCCATGGTGCCAAATGATTCTTCCACATTTTGTTTGTTATTCTTAATCTTATCCTTCTGTTGTTGGGGGGAAATATATATAGACAACCTATATATATATATATATACACACATACACACACATACACACACATTGATTTGTCTTGCACCAAGTCGTTTTTCCCAGTAGATTTAGTATCCTGGGCTTTTCTTGTTGCCATTTTGAGGTTATTTAATTATGTCCTTTCTCTCAATTTCAGCAATTGATATTAAAGCTAGTAGGCTAGCATTACCAGTTTATCGTCTTAATTATTTGCTGGTATACCAAGATTTTTACTTTTCTGTATCATGGTCTCCCCCTTAATATATACAGAGGTTGTCTAAATATCAAGTACCAATAAACTCTATAAGCTTGAAAAAAAAAAAAAAGATGATTAGTATTATTATTATTATTATTATTATTATTATTATTATTATTATTATTATTATTACAAGCGATAAAGCACTTATCTTATATGGCTGTCTCTTGTTCATGAAAATCAAACGATGATGAAGATGAAATTCTTAGGCCACAACAGGAGTCAAACTTCCTCACTTTATTGTGGCTTGTATGGAAATATCAGATATTTGGCACTGATTGTCTCGAATCCGAGGTAAGATTATTAACCCTCATAGTGGTAAAATATCATATCCGAATATGGACCGGAGAGCAAATCCGCCCTTATTTAACATTTCTGTGTATATCGAAAGAATTTTGGACCTTAGTTCCTCGGGCTTGTGGTTTTAAATAGGCAGAGTATTCACAGGGGGGCTGTGGCGTTCCAACAGTTCAGCGTGGTGAGATCGCCATAGCACTCCGCAGAGACCGCCCCTCCTCCTCGTCATAAGGCCTGCCCGCCTGTTGTCAGCACGTCATGACGCCACTCCAGATTTTAATATATTCAGGAGGTAAAAGGTGAGTTAGAGGGGGCTAGTGTTTAAAGGACCACTCTAGGCACCCACACCACTTCAGCTTAATGAAGTGGTCTGGGTGCCAGGTCCAGTTAGGGTTAACCCCTTAAGGACCAAACGTCTGGAATAAAAGGGAATCATGACATGTCACACATGTCATGTGTCCTTAAGGAGTTAATAAACATAGCAGTTTCAGAGAAACTGCTATGTTTATGTTAGGGTTAATCCAGCCTCCAAATCCTCTAGTGGCTGTCTCATTGACAGCCGCTAGAGGCGCTTGCGTGATTCTCACTGTGAAAATCACAGTGAGACCGGCTGAATGCGCGCGCAGCTCTTGCCGCGCGTGCGCATTCAGCCGAAAGGGAGGAGAAGAGCTCCCTGCCCGGCGCTGGAAAAAAAGGTAAGATTTAACCCTTTCCTCTCCCCAGAGCCAGGCGGGAGGGGGACCCTGAGGGTGGGGGCACACTCAGGGCACTATAGTGGTTCTTTAACATTTTAAGGTCATGAATACATGTTTGTGTTCCTGACCCTATAGTGTTCCTTTAATTAATAAATAATTAAGGAATGAAAGGGATACTGAACAGGATTTAAAGGACTCGTACAAATAGCCCCTTTGGCTTCCTCAGTCTTTCACTTTCCAGAACTGGTATTACCTCCCAAAGAACAGGTCACTCTTAGTCGTGATCTGGTTCGAGTTTGAACAACATGCTCTTGCATTTATTGAAAAACCCAAAGAAAGAAGAGAAAAAAAAAAATAATATATATATATATATATATCTCTCACATCTGAAGTTTCTGCATTTACCATAATTCTCCAAGAAAGTACACAGCTAATCATGTAATATATTTTCTAAAGCACTGATTAGCATAACCCATAAACTGTACTTAGAATATAGAGGTGCGGGCGGTAGAAGGTATGAGTTAACAGAAAAAAATATATAGCTAAAGAAGCCTAACAAATGTTAGGTTTCTTACTTTAACCCATTCTGTAAGAGTCATTTTAAAAGGAACACTATAAGGTCAGGACTACAAACATGTATGGTGTTTACCTATTGAATCAATACATCTCTATAGGGAAAACTCAGTGCCTCCATGCAGAGGGTGGAAACACTGACCCAGGAGGCACCTTTAGTTGTCATATGAGGAGTGGCCACTAGAGGCAGTGTTTACATTAAAAAGCCTACAGGGACTGACTATACCCACCAGAACTACTACTACAAAAAAAAATTAAGTGTTTTCAGCTCAGGGCCCTCAAGCCATACTACTAGACTGTAAGCTCATTTGAGAAGGGGCCTCACTACTACTTGTTCCTTTAAGTCAGACTTGGGTCTTGTGAACCCATTCTACAAAGCTGTTGAAAATGTTGCAGCTTTATAAATAAAGAGGTGCACTTGCCAAACATTTTTCATTCACACATTTTTGGAATCTAAAATGGTACGGTGTTTTTTTTGGAAGGGGAAAAGAAAAGCAAAACCAATTTTTAAAAAGGGCAGGGAAACTTTGGACCTTCGCTGTATTATTATTATTCACTAAACAGAGAAGTGTGATAAACTGCAAAAAACTTTAGTGAGAACCACAGTTTACATTATGGGAACTGATTGTCCATTCAACACAACTCACAGTTTAGTGAGTAAATCATAATACACTGCTCATGATAAACTTCATAAAGCACGGTATCACCTTGACACTCACCACCAGGAGTAGCATCAAGACCCTAGCAACACTTCATCTTTCCCAGAATACTCATCACAACCCACTAATGATGAAGAAAGAGTCATAGGGCAGACAGAGAAATAAGTGAAATATTTTGGCTAAAATGTCATAATCACCCTTTCGTTGCACAGACATTTTGTATTTACAGACACATTTCAACAAAATGTGGATTTTATAAAATGAACAATTGAACAGATAAAGCCAACACATCCAGTGAAATGGAAAAGGAAGAGAACAAAAGAAGCAGTTACCTCATCGCAATAAGAAATCTAGCCCAGCTTGCTTCTCTTGCTTTATATAGGGAGTGAAATATGGAGCCTAGAGGTCTCCAGTCTCATAAATAATCCACCATGTATCTGCCAGGCTCTTTGTTTTAGGGACCATGAATGCTATAATGGTAGTCAGGTTACAGATAAGCAAAGAGTAAAATGACAGCATCTGAATTTGTGTTCTGGCTTTCCTGTGCAGAGCACTGATGTGAACAGTTAAATTTAAAAGGGCAAAAAGGGCATCTGTAGTGAGATGATCGAATTTATTTTTATACATACAGAATGTTTGAGAAAAGAAGATTGACACTGAACTAAAAATGATTCTCAGTCAATTAAATGTCCTAGATACAGTCATTACATAGGGTGAAATTATTTTAGCTATTAAAAGTATACATTAAAGAACAAAGAAAGCTCTTATGGAGATGTCAGCATCACTCAGAAGTGCTGTCCACAATAGATCAGATTTCCTATACAAGCTGTGCAGAGTTAAATTACCCTGGATCAGAAATCACAAGGATGAGATTACAGGAGCAGAGATATATAGAAAGAAGGATATTGGAGAGCATATTCAAAGCAACACTGTCTCTTGTGTTTTGAATCGCTTCCTATTGCAATCAGTACTGATGATTTACTTAACTCAAATGTGGCTTTTACTGTATATTGTGGATATAAAACACAACATTGATTTCTCAGAATTAATGCATCACCTTGGCACACATTCTAAAGTCACATTTCGCAAGCAATTTCCAGCAAATTCTAATCAGCAATAGATTCCAACGTACGGATTTTACAAGAGTAAACTATTATAGCACAGAGGGATATTATGGTCACTTGATCTAACCAAGCATGAAAAGCATGGAATACACCCTTCAAACCTCAAATAATTATGGAGTCATATGTACACACACACACTTAAACAGATCCTTTAATACGCTGTATAATGAAAACATTCTTTTCTTTAAGATAAATCATAGGTGTCCTTTACAACTGAGCAAAAGTAAGCAAAATTACATTTTCTACCATAAATTCCACACATTTCACTCTCCACCTACATTTCTTTGTTTCCTGAAAATTTGAATGCTAGACAAAGCCCAGGAGCCAGATAGTCAGAAATGATAACATGTGCGAGAGATATCCAACTTTTTTTGAGGTATTTTATACTGATCGTTGCAGATAAAGCCCTTTCTTGATCCTAACCTCTAAATAATCTGTCTGCTATATGTACATACAGTGTTATAATGTGCCCAGCCTTTTACAAATCTGCTTACATAAAATATCTATAGATTATATTTATAACACATACTATACAAGCTCTTCCACAGAGAATGTATCGATCTACACCGTATTATTATTTCCTGTCACCTTCTAGTGCAATTTCAACCAATCACCCTACTAATAAGCCTTCTATACAATGTATCCACTCCCTCCCCTGTCACTGACACCTCTTCCTTTTCCTGTCACCTTTCCTCTGCATTTTTCTCCAGACAGTTCTAGCTCAAATCCTGCATTACCGTTGTCACATTAACCTACCTTCTCTCCCCTCCCCAGACTACATACTACAAACTCCTCTTAACTAGAATATCTACCAAACTCTGTCCCCTTTTCGAATGAATTCTCATAGTGCAGCAGGCAATGCTCCCTGATACACACGGTGGAACTTAACTGCACCTTTCATTGTTCTTAGAACTCTCTCAAACTATGTCTTCCTTTCCTATCTCTGGATCACTGTAACAATCTGAGCCACATAACCCCTTTGAGACCACTGAGGTGACTTTTTGTACCGCTCCTAAAATAAGGATTACTCAAAGGGTACATCACACGCTCCTGTATGAACTATAACTCTCAGCAGGACAAGCCCTCATGCTGGCAGAGCATCATTGGAGTTGTAGTCCTTCACCTTGGGAATCCAACCTTTGCCCACCGCTGTTCTACAGAGGAGTTTAGTGCTATCTCCCCTCTCCCCCCTCCCCATGTTGCCCAGTCAGCCCAGGGTCCCCCAGCCCGCCCTCCCGCCGTGCCCCAGCACTCACCTCGCTCTCCACTTTCTGGACGGGCAGTTTCTGCCACGGGTCTGCCAGCTGTGCCAGCGGCATCTTCCCCACAGTGAGCAGAGCGCAGCGCCCGGGGGGTTCCCGTAACGGTCGGAGCGGAGCAGCGAACGGCCCGGGATCTCTGGGCTGGCCGTCCGCTCTGTCGGTAGTCCGGTAGCGGGTTAATAGAGTGTGCCGCTCCAGCGCAGCTCCCGCTCTCACTCACACATATATACACACACACACACAGGAGCGAGCCTCTCTACTTCCTCTCACAACATGGCGTCCCGGGCAGTACCTGCCGCTCGCAGCGCAGCTCCCCTCCGCGTCAGGCTAACGTCACTGGCAGTGGGCGGGACTTCCCGCCTCCTGTCTGGGGTGTAGGAGGAGAAGGAGGGGGACAGGTGACAGCAGCAGGGAAAGAGGCTCAGGGGCGGTCACGTGACTGCGTGAGTTCTGGCAGCCATCTTGGTAGAGGCAAGGATGCCAAATCTGGCTGCTTAATACTTTATCTGTGATACGAAACGTTCCATACTTGGTTTACTTTTTTATGTCTAAGAATCTATTCAGCCCTGCATGCCTTTTATCAACCCCCTAAGGACTTTTATATTAAGTGCACCCACACTTATTATATATCATTTTATTCAGGAGAAACAGGGCTTTTATTTCAAATATTTAGCTATGAAACATAATTTAATATGAAAAAAATACCAAAAAAAAGTGAGAAATTAAGAAATGTTATTTATTTTAGTTCCGCATGACATTTTAACTGTGAATGTCATAATACTGTTTGCTTTTACTGCAATAAAATACACATATTTGTATTCAGCAATGTCTCACGGCTAAAACAGTATCCCCTATGTACAGGTTTTATGGTGTTTGGGAAGTTACAGGGTCAAATATAGCGCGTTACATTTTTCAGTTTTTTTCACATTGAAATTCACCAAATTGGTTACATTTCCTTTGAGACGATGTGGTAGCCCAGGAATGAGAATTACCCCCATGATGGCATACCATTTTCAATAGAAGACAACCCAAGGTATTGCAAATGGGGTATGTCCAGTCTATTTAGTAACCACTTAGTCACAAACATTGGCCAAAGTTAGCGTTATTATTTGTTTGTGTGTTAAAAATGCAAAAAACTAATTTGAATGCCAATTTTGGCCAGTGTTTGTGACTAAGTGACTACTAAAGAAGACTGGACATACCCCATTTGCAATACCTTAAGTTGTCTACTATTGCAAATGGTATGCCATCATGGGGGTAATTCCAGGGCCAGATTAACAGCCCAGTGGGCCTGGTGCTGACAATTATGATGGGCCTAATTAGAGAAGCCTCATGTATCTGATGGAGATGGTGCTGGAGGGAAAGAAAACAGCAGCTATAAGAAAACACATACCCTATGCTAATTTCTCTCTAATTTATGTTTTCATCTTTCAAGTAAATCCATAACCACTAACAGCAGTGTCCAGTCAAGCAGGAGGTCAATGGGCACGGTAAAAGGGTGTGCCACTGACACAAATCACGTAACCTGCCAAAAGGGGCAAACATTCCCAAAAAGAGGGCATGTCTGCCTAAAGAATTGGAAGGCCATCCTGGCATGAATGCATGTCAGGCTGCCTGCCAATCATGCTAGGTGGCCAACTAAGGGCATACTTTGCAGACAGCACCCTGAGCTTGGCATACATGCATTTAATGATGCGCTCGCTCAGCGCTTTCTAAGGACTGTCCCCTAGCATTCACTGGTCCACTTGTCTCTCTACCTTTTTACTAGCAGGCAGAAGCTCCTGGTATATAGTCTGGGACAGAGAAAAGCTGTATGTAGTAAGTGTAGAAGAAAGGGAACATGCCACAGTGTTAGAGAGACCAAAGTCAGCATTACCTTAACTATATTCATTGTCAGCCATTCCATACAAGTTTTGTTCCCATACATCCCTCTTAAGTTTCCATACTTAAGCAAGAGTATATGAAAAGTAGTTAGGGTTGCCATCTTTTTTGGAAAAAACATACCGGCATTGCTAAATTGCATAATTAATTATGTATGGGGTACATCACATGATGTAAATCACAAGGAGTGATGTAAAATGCTGTAAAATCACCAAAAAACTACTTGGTTTGATTCTGCTATATAGATGGATTGCTCCCAGTGTCTCAAGTCTCCCAGTGTCTGTGTCCCCATGTCTCCCGGTGCCCTCATGACTCAGTGTCCCCATGTGTCGATTACCCCAGGTCTCAATGTCCCTATGTATCAGTGTCTCAGGGCCCCATGGTTCCCAGTGTCCCCTGGTCTCCCAGTGTCCCCTAGTGCCGTGTCCCCAGGTCTCCCAGTGACCCTATGTATCACAGTGTCTCAAGGCCCCATGTCTCCCTGTGTCCCCCAGTATTCCCATGTGTCTATGTCCCCATGTCTCTGTGTCCCCAAGTGACTGTGTCATAATGTCTCCCAATGTCCCTTAGTGTCTCAGTGCCCCCATGTCTCCCAGTGTCCCCAAGTGTCTGTCATAACGTCTCCCGATGTCTCCTTGCAGCCTTTCCCCGCCCCCCATTCCTCACTTCCCTGAGCTGTAGGCTGTATCTGCAGGGTGAGAGTTGCTGGACTCTCTGTAACTGCTCCTCTGCAGATCAGTGAGTAGAGATAGGCAGGGCCAGTGCTGGTATTGCACTGTAATCTCTGTTTAAACTGAGAAAAATACCAGCATTTGTATTGCCAGTATGACTGCAATATCTGCACTAGACAGGCGGCCTCAAATACTGGCTGTGCCAATAAAATACCAGCCAGGTGGAAACCCTAAGAGTAGTGTGTAAAAAAAAATATATATATATATTTTTTTAAATCAATGGGCCTATTCCATGGGCCTGGGCCTGGGCCTGGAGCTGCAGCTCCATCAGCCCCTATGTTAATCCCGCGCTGGGTAATTCTCATTCCTGAGCTACCATACGGTCTCAAAGGCAACGTAACCAATCTGGCGAATTTCAATGTAAAAAAACAAACACAAGTCTTATATTTGACTCTGTAACTTTTGAAAAATACCATAAAACATGTACATGAGGGGTACTGTTATACTCAGGAGACTTTGCTGAACACAAATATTAGAATGATATTGTCAGTGTAAGTGCCGTTTATATTTAAAAAATGCAAAAAACTTCACTTTCACTGATGATATCATCGTTGTAACACATTTTACTGTTTTGAAACACTAATATTTCTGTTCAGCGAAGTCTCCCGATTAAAACAGTACTTCCCATGTACAGATTTTATGGTGTCTTGGAAAACTACAGGGTTAAATATAGTGCTAGCAATTACATTCTCTGGACTTTCTGCCTGTGTTATCAGGAAGGTCACACAAATTGTAATGAATAAAATGACTTAATTATGTAAACATATTGCATACATATAGACGTAAAATTAAAATATATATATATATATATACTTTTTTAAAATTATTTTTATTTATATATAGGTATATATAGTGATATATACATATATATTTATGTATATAGATATATATATATTATTTCATTTTAAGTGTATTTTGATATCAATATATATATATTAACATCAAATTACAGTTAGAACAAAATTACACATATATATATTTTTTAAATTTTTTATTTTTATTTATTTATTTATTTCATTTTTAACGTATTTATAAATTTATTTATTTTACATCATATATACCGGTACTTATATTTATAATTATATATATATATATATATTTATATATATATATATAATTAATATCATTCTACGTGTTTTTTGATATTAATATATATATATATATATATATATATATACATATATATATATATTAATATTAAAATACACTTAGATCATATATATAATATAATTAAGTGTTCTTGCATAGCAAGACCACTTAATGTTATCTCACATATATATTATTTTAGTTTTTACATATTATTTTAGTTTTTACACTACATAGACAAAAATTTACCAAAACGTGCAGATTGTTCCCGATCGGATTGCTATTACTTTGTGGAATGTTTCGCCGAATGGTTCACGGAATATCGTCGTTCTTGTGGCGAAATTTGTCCTATAGGAATGAATGGCAAAGCTGGAGTGGGAGCTGGCAAAAGCTGAAAAATCAGGACATGATTTCTAAACTGCCACCACTCCCTTATTTTCAGGCCCACCTACACAAATCATATATCAAAACGTTCAGCTATCCCTGCTGCCACTAAACATGTCAACGGCTAAGCCATAGTCCTGATAGTTTTCACAATATAATCATTTGTTTGCAACTAACGCCGTCCATTGACATTCATTGAAACTTCACTCTACAAAGCTCAAATTTGAAGGGCAATTTCTAAACTGCGACTATGCCTTCATTTTTAATACTTCAGAGACATACTATGCATCAAAATGTAGGTCTGGGTCTTGTGATTCTCACAATATAAATCTCTTCGCTGTAGGATTGATAGTTTTTAAAATACGACCGTTTGAAGATGGTAACCGCCAAAATACTCTGACCTGTGTCAGGCTGCAGCAGCAAGTGATGTCATAGACAGGGCCTTTTGAACACCTGCTAATGTTTTTATAAATGCATGGTTTAATGTAACTGTGCAACAACATTGCAATTAAATGTGCTATATAAATGATAACAGTTACTCCGCCCACTCCAGTTGTAGACTACTGGTGGAGGCAAGAACACTTCACACAATTTCCCCAGAAATTGTAGCTTTTCTAGTAAGTATATGTTATTTAATTTTAAACTGTTTTAAAACTTTATTTCATTTTATAACAGGCAGCAGGGGTACTACCTGTCATTCCAGGTGCCCCCCCTGGGATGCTAGGCAATTCCCCCAAATGCGATCGCCGGCGGGGGATCGTCAGCGAGCAGGTAAGTACATAGGACATACTATGCAACCGGACGGAATTTAGAGCCATGTTCCCAAGGACGGCATAGTACGCCCGCCGTCCTTAAGGGGTTAAAGGAACACTATCGTCACCAGAACAACTACAGCATAATGAAACACTAATATTTCTGTTCAGCGAAGTCTCCCGAGTAAAACAGTACTTCCCATGTACAGATTTTATGGTGTAAAGGCTACTTTTTCAGTGTTTACAATGGTGCCTAGTAACATCTCTAATGGCTGTAAGTGGTGCAGTGCTCCTCAACCTTTTCTCACCCAAAGTACACCAAAACTCTTCCCAGAATTCCACAGTACACCCAATTTCTGAAATACTTTCATTAGTCCCTGGCCTTATCTTAAGTCTAGGAGAGCCTTATGCCTATCCCATGCATGCTTAAACACCTTCACTGTGTTAACTTCTACCATTATCTCTGTGAAGAAATACTTCCTGATATTATTTTT